AAAATGTGTTTCTGGTGAAGGTCAATGAAGTTGGTAGTTCTTAGTGCAAAAGGTAGTAAGGGACCTTTTCCAGGCATCTAATCTATTTTCCTACAGCCGTAACATAAAATTTTCACAGACAGAAATGTAACCTTATCATTTGTTTCTAGCATATATCTTAACATATTCATTCATTTGATCCTTTTTTTTTTTCCTGAGGTATATCAACTGTGTTTATCAATAAAACATGTAATGTTAGCTTCTGGGGTATTGTAAGTATATGTATAGATGAATGGAAATTACTTACTGCTTCTAGAAGGTCACCATCACTTGTCCCTCCAAGAATCTCTAACATGAGAATAGGAACAGGCAATGTTTGGATTGATAGATGATGACACAGGGTAATTAGATTGTTCAGAACTTCACTAGAGCTATTATTTATAAATTTCTACCGCTTTGCTTTTCTCCTAATCATTGAAAGGATTTGTCAACATAGATTTCCTCCTCCTCCTCAGATGATGACATGAAGTGCAGCCCACAATATATGCTGACAAGACAAGAACCTTTGAGGCTGCCTTAAAATATTCTGTGCAACGACTACTTTTTTTCTAAATAGCGATTCAATAATCCAGGGAGAACTTACATGAAAGACACAGATTTACCTAGTCTTAACTTTTATTAAATGCACGATTAGAGTAGTTTCATGATTCGGAGTAGGAATATATTGATGACGGAAGGAAAGTGGATAGTCTGGTCAGGAAAATACTCCCTTTTCACACACTGCTGGTTATAGACCTCACAAAATTGGTGCCAGTGGCTGCTTCTCACACAGTCTCAGAAACCTGGGGATTTAATGCTGCCTGAACTCATATTAGCTCCAGGACAAGTATAGATGGACTCAGGAGGATGAGGGGAATAACTGCTTGAGAATTGCCCTGCTGTTCTCCTCCGTAGATCCCTTGTGGGATGTCCCGGGAGTGTAGATCTCTTGTGGGATGTCCTGGGAAGAAGATCAGGATGTGGTAACTCCATTTGCACTTGGGGACAGCGGTGTTGGAGGGAGCTCCGGGATGGGCAGAGCTTGGGGTGGTGGCACACGTGTGTGTGGGGGGAGTGTGTGCAGTCCATCCTGTGCCCAATTTCACATGTGTGGTGTTTCTGTGGTTTCCATCCCAGCGGATCCGAGCCTGGTGAATGGAGAGGAGAGCTGTGTGTACTTTGCTGGGAATTCTCTCGGACTCCAGCCACGAAAAGTTAAAACTTACTTGGATGAAGAACTGGACAAGTGGGCTAAAACGTGAGTACAGAACAGGGTGTGCGAGATGCTAACCCATGCTTCAGATGAGCACTTTGTGTTATTTTGGGATCTGCCTTGAAAATGCTTGAATAGAAGAATAGCGTGTTAAAACCACTACAGCCCAGGAGTAAAACATGTTCAGTGCTTCCCCAGCACTGTTTAAATCTCCTTTAAAGGTGTTGAGCAGCAAAGCAGGCAAAGAGAAGCTTCCAGCTGTGATAACCCTTGCTATGTGTGGTGGCTCTGCTTCAGCTCATTTGGAGGACCCACATGGTTTAACCATCCCCACCCAATTGCTCTGTGTGTTTATACATAAAACACATAAACTCATTTGGCTACCACTGCTTGCTGGTGAACATGACTCACTTTCAGGCCTGGTGATTTTCTAATTAGTATTTTTAACTGCGTTGGATTCACACTGCAGGCCTTGCAAGAGGCTTTCAAGATAACCCTTGAAATGACATTGAGCGCAAGTGATGCTGCTGCCAGCGCCGGCAGGTTTCTGGCTCCTCTGTAACCAGGTTTCTACCTGACAAGTTCATTTTATTTAGAAAGAAGGGTTCCTCTCTTCTCAGGTGAGGAACTAAGACTGGATTGCAATGAGCTTTACCGGATGGAGCTGATGTAAGTGAGACTGGAGGACAAAAAAGGGACCTATTGCAGGAAAAGGGGCATTGTCATCACAGTAGATGGGAAACTTTTAGATACATAATGGGGGTATGTTTGTTTGGGTTTTTTTAAATATTATACCATGTTTCCATGGAGAGTCTGTGCTGTGATATGTCCAGCACCAACCTGAGCAACTGGAGCAGGGAGAAGTAAGGAAAAAGAAAGTAAAAAAACAAGGGAAAGTGGGAAAGGAAAATAACATCCAGATGAGTGACTGAGCTGGAAAAGAGATGAATGCTTTTATAGGGTGCAGGATATGAGCGGAACAGATGTGATTTCATGGTGAGAGAGCAGAGGAAATATGGGGAGGCAGAAGAGGAAATGCTAATTCTGCTAACTGGGCAGCCTTGTTTCAGTGCAAATGCTATAGATGGAGGCGTCATGATGTAAATGTGAAAACTGTGGCTGCTTTTTCACTTCTTAATATATGAATGCTGTGGGTTAATAAAAATGGTTTACAGTTTCCTGTTTATTACTCACATTCTTATAAGTGAGAAGAAGATTGAGAATGAATGGGAATGAACGTGAACTTTGGGAAGCGCTCGTTCCTCCTGGTTGTTCATTCAGCACAACACTGCGGTTTCTCCAGTCATTTGAAAAAATTGCAACCCTGTCCGTTTCTGTATGATTATCGTACTTTATCAGGGAAGCAACTGAGCTCTTTTGAAAGGTAAAAGTCAGATACTGTTCTTATCTGTTAGAGTGATGCACTGGGAGTGCAAACATATTTCAGCTCCTTCTCTGTACCTTTTCATTGGTTCGCTTCCAGTATTAGGTTTGTCTTTGCTACAGTGAAGGGTATTTTTTTTTTCTCAATTATTCTGAAAAATCAGAGAGAAAAAAGTGGGCAGCATATTTCTCCAGAAGATTAAAAGTACCTTCAGTAGCTGTATCTAAGGGGGAAATATGACTCAACATTATTTCAATCCATCAAAAGAAAGGGAGCAAATTTAGAAGGCTGCCAAAAATACAGCTTGGCCTCAAACACCTTACCCAGAGTAAATCAGGAAGTTTATAAAAAAATACAAAAGCAAAACAAAACCCAAACAAACTAAACCAAACCAGCCCCCACAACAAAGTCCTGCTAGTTGAAGATACACTGAAGGTAACTGAGAAAGTCAGGATGACGTCAAGTTAAATTTGAAAACAGAGCAATTTATGATTAAATAAACTGATGGGCAGGATTGGGTGCTGGGAGGTGCAAAGGAATAGGTGCTTGGAGAGGCAGAAATGGATGCTTTTATTCCGGTCACCAGGGATAGCTTAGCAAAATCCAGTCTACGACAGTAGCTGTTAACGGTCAAAGCCCATTCAATGGCTTTTTTGTTGGCAATATGGAATTTAGTGTCTGTGGCTTAGATAAATAAGTAGTGAGAATCTAAAAAATGGCATGCAAATGAGGTGCATCCTTCAAGTCAGCAATGATATAGATTCTAGCTCTCTTATAAATTGGTTTATCGCATTTTCTGTTGGTTGTGTCTTGAGACTCATCTCAGATAACTACTATAATTGTCTATATAAATGGTTTTCACTGCTTATAGCTGATGGTAAGAGTGAAAAGGAAGATTACCTGGTAGCTGTTGTCAAGGCCAGGGAAGCTCATAGCTTTAGCCCTGCATGGTGATAGCAACTCATCAGAGTAAGGCCTGGGGAGAAAGAGGCCTTTTCATGCACTTTTTTCTTGTTGAGTTCCCTCTTTCAGTGTCACTGTCCTTTTTTCTCCTCCCTGCCTTTAAATGTTTTAGTGCTTTCTTCTCTTACCTTGGCCTCCCAAGTTCCTGTTCTGGTTTTGCATTCTTTCTTTCCACATTCCCCAGTTCTCTCTTTTTTTTTTAATGCTAATGTAGAAAGACTACAACTTAAAGCCCCTGACATCCTTGGTGTGGATTAAAAATGAGCCTCTGAGACTTTATCTTCCTTTCTGTTTTGATTTCTGCTAAATCCAAGACTTATGGACTGGATGCTTGGGTAAAGGCTACTAGGTGTTTTGTAGTGTCTTGTTTTGCCTTCCCCCCGTCCTTCTCAACTACTTAAGTATTGTGTATTTTATAGAGTCATTATTGCATGTGAACAACCTCTCTGCAGCGGGCAACATCTCTCACATCCAAGTAACTCATTGAAGTTGAACTATTATAACAGAAGGGAGTCTACTAGAAGCAGTTGTTATGGTCTTGTGAAGGGCTGGTAGGGTGACTGGGGAGTGGAGAACCTGCTGAATGAAGGTCTTGAGGATCAGAGTGATGCAGTTGAGCAAAACAAAGACTGAGAGGAAAAATGAATGTTCTCTGTGAATGTATCAAGGGGTAAACATGGAAAGAAAGGAGTAATTTATGTGAAATAGCATGCTGGCACAGTAAATATGAACTAGAAATTAATAAATTGAGGCTAGAAACTAAATATGCATATGTACTTCTAAGCACTGAAACAGTCTGACAACAGGCTTCTGACATTAATATAGTAGACAAAGATATCCTCATCTGTGGAAAGCTTTAAAATACAGCACCTGCGGTAGCAAAGTATTGTTTTCAGTGAGTCAGAAGGTATCTTTGGTTCCCTATGTTGAACTATTCCTGCAAGATATATTAGTTCTGCAAGCAGGAGCGCAGCTTTGCAGGACTTGGTCGTATTCTATTTGACAGACCTACTTCTCCTGCCATTTGGAGAACTGGCTGAATGGCAGAGCTCAGGGATCAATGTGATCAATGATGCAGAGTCCAGCTGGAGGCCTGTGGCTAGTGGTGCTCCCCAGTGGTCAGTACTGGGCCCAGTCTTGTCCAATATTTTCATCAATGACCTGGATGAAGGGACAGAATGTACCCTCAGCTGTTGATACAAAGATTGGAGGAGTGGCTGATACAGCAGAGGATTGTGCTGCCACTTAGTGAGACATGGACGGGCTGCAGAGCTGGGTGGAGATGAACCAAATAAAGTTCAAAAAAGGCAAATGTAAGGTCCTGTGCCTAGGGAGGAATAACCCAATGTACCAGTTTAGGTTAGAGGGTGCTGGAAAGCAGCTCTGTGGAGAAGGACCTGGGAGTTCTGGTGGACAGCAGGTTGACCAACAGTCAGCGATGTGCTCTTGTGGCCAAGAAGGCCAATCTTCTGGGGTGCTTTAAGTGTGAGGTTGAGGGAGGTTCTCCTTCTCCTGTACTCTGCCCTGGTGAGGCCACATGTGGAATACTGTGTCCAGTTCTGGGCTCCCCAGTTCAAGAAAGGCATGGAACTACTGGAGACAGTCCAGCGGAGAGTTACAAAGATGATGAGAGGACTGGAGCATTTCCCATATGAAGAAAGGATGAGAGAGCTGGGTCTGTTTAGCCTGGAGAAGTGAAGACTAAGAGAGGATCTTATCAATGCTTATAAATATCTAAAGGGTGGGTGTCAAGAGGATGGGGCCAGACCCTTTTCACTGGTGCCCTGCAACAAGACAAGGG